CTCCCGTGAACTTGACTTTCAACCAATTTGCCAGCAGTCTGTGAATAAAGGAAAACAAGAATTCCCTTTGAGAGTAACCCAATTCTCACTGTGAACTGTGAGGGAAGGAGGGGTCCCACGGATCTAGTTCATATACCACACACAGGTGACACTGCTGGACACTGGTTCCTGGTCACAAGGAAGTGTGCTAGTATTTTGGAAAACTCTTTTACTTAAGTGTGGTGTGAAAACACACACACTAGATTCCCTGTTAAGGATGCCCACAGTTCCCTTCTAGAGGAGCAAGAAAGTGAAACTGTTATAGCCATGCTCTAAGCGGGACACGCCAAGGGTCTAACCTACAGGAGCATCCCACTGGCCACAACGGGGTGCAGCCCAAAGGGATACTAACTCTTCAGTGCTTTGGACAAAGAACCTCTTCCAAGTTCACAGAATAAAAACTGAAATCATCAACGATACACAATTGTGCTTCAGAGTTGACCTGGGCACACAAAGAGGGACACCCCCCACCAACTTCTCAGCATGGACCGCCCCCGCCCCGCCCCTGCTCAGGGGCTGTCTGACCTGCTGGGACTCCCTGAGGGCAGGTCTTCTTCATCGGGCAGCACCAGCACCACCTTCCAGAACATGTGCTCCTGCCACTCAGGAAGGTGCTGGGCCACAAGGGTCGGCAGGTCCAGAGGTGCCCATACCTTCTCTCTGCCAGGGCAGAACACTGCAGTGAGCTGGCCCAGGTTCAGGAAGCCTCGGGCCGGGCCAGGCCAGGGCAGCCACCCCCAAGGATGAGACCCACCTCAGCAGCTGCTGGTGGAAGTGCTGAACCTTCATGCGGTGAGCAGCAGTGTCCCTGAGCTGCTTCAGTCTGCAGAGAAAGAGTTCATACCTTCCCAAAGGCCCAGACGAGGGTAGGGTGATGGAGCAGGCTGGGAGCAACCAGTAGGCCCACCCAAAGTGGGCAACTGAGAAGGCTCACGCAGGGAGGGATCAACCAGTGTACACACGGAGAAACGTGCAGGCGTCAGGAAAGGACGACTAGGAGGGCAAGAGGGATTGGTGGGCTGTGTCGAGGGAACCCTCCGGGTGTAGGAAAAGTGAACTTCAGCGGGGACTTGAGAGAAGCAGAAGGGCTAGATGGAGCAGGCCTGGAGCATGGGGCGAGGCCGGGGCCTCACCAACCAAAGGGGAAGCCTGGGAGAAATACAAGGAGCTCAGTGTGGGGCTTCAGTGTTCCCGGGGAAGGGGCGCATGATATCTGAGTCAGGCTCCCGAGACCGCAGGGAAGGGCAACCTCAGGCACGCAGCACCCAGGGGACCTCCCTGAGGACCCCACATACCATCAGCCCAAACACAGGGTCACTTATCCTCACATATTGTCAAGTGTGGCTGGGAGGCAAGGAAGACCTTGGAGGGACTGAGGCAGGGCTGACCAAGGGCTGGGTGACTGGGAGAACCTGTGGGGAGAGGGGCACTGACCTAGTGCAGGAGATGCCCATCTTGCCCGCATGGCCCAGGTTCAGGAGGAGGCTCCGCAGGAGAAAGTGACGCTTTCTGCCCCTGTAAAGCGCTCCTCTCCGAGTCTCACCCGCCCTCTCGGGGCTCCGGGGAGGTGGGGTTTAGTTGTGAGCCCACCACATAGCCGCTGGGACCATTTTGTTCTTTTCGTCTTCACTGGCTCCGGTCTGTGTGCTTTCAGTAAAGGTAGAGATCTTGACCCTTCTCTGTCGGTGTAAGAGTCACAGCGGCCCCCTGGCTGTGGTCCTTGCCTAGGTGTGCGCTGGAGGCTGACCAGCGGGCCCGGCTGGAGCGCTGCTGCGAGGATGTCTCTGCCCACTTGGCGGACTTATTCGTGGAAGAAGAAACCTTTCAGACAGCAAAGGAGACCCTTCAGGAGCTTCGATGCTTCTGCAAGTATCTACAGCGGTGAGTCGGTGCCTTCAGGTGCCTCTTCTCCCAGACGGAGAGAACCAGAGCCAGCCCTTCTTTCAGCCAGGGATGAGGACCCGCCTGCATTTTACAGCAGTCATGCCCCGCTTCTA